CTCTCCTCTCAAGTTTATTCATTTCTTTTTGCAATTAGACGACATTGTACTTTCTCCTGATTTTGCGCTTCGAAATTGGCCAGGATCGTAACATTGGTATCAGAGCGGATTTTACTTGGTGGTGGGAGTTGACTTTGCTGCTCCAACCCTAACCTGGGTAGGAGGGCTACCACCTAAGGTTAGGGATGGAAAGTTGAGGGAAGTGAGGCAGCGTGGTTAAGGGAAGCTACCTCCACCTGGTTAGGTCGTGCTGGGTCGACACTAGACCTGATCAGGTTGCTTGAGAGTAAGTTTGGGGTGGCGAGACACTTCGAGAAGAATTCGTGCGACAATTTGTGAGAGGCAACAATCAGAGGCACTCGCACCTGGAATCTGACCTAAGGGAGACATTTGGCGACTTTAGGACTTTCCTCAAGTAGGCGAGCTTGAGGGAAGTAGCCGTTTTGCATCTACGGACTGCAAGTTGCTACTTTGATCTTCTGCATCGGCGGGGGATCTGGCATTGCACTTTGGTGTTGGAGGCAGACCGTCCTAGTAGATAGGACACTAGTGTAGGGGTGGCGCTAAAGGGGTTAGGAGGACCATATGAGAGGGGGGAAAATTCTACTTCTTCTCGAAGCTCAGGCCACTCAGGTAAGTGTCGTGCACCTACGGGATGCCCATGAATGTGTGCATGAAATTGTTTATCCTGTTGGGGTTATTTTGTAGTTTTTTTCCTACTCATCTGTGGTCTCGATTATGTGTTTGAGTATGCAACCTCAACCAATGGATACACATGAATTGTGTTATTTTCTTGGCCTTGCATCATACTATCGGAAGTTTGTGCCCAAATTTTCTATCGTTGCTCGCTTATTGGTTGTACTCATAAGCAAGAATGTATCTTACAGATAGGGTGAAGCATGTGCGACTATTTTCCAGGCCTTGAAAGAGGTTTTGATGAGTCATCCTGTGCTCCGCATTGCAGATCCCAAACTCACATTCGTAGTCACTATGGATGCGAGCCAACATGGGATTGGTGCAGTGCTGAAACAAGATGATGGTAATGACTTGCGTCCACTCGAATACTACAACAAATGCATGTCCAACGAAAAGGTAGCTACTTCCATAAACATGTGCGAGCTTTATGCTTTGCGTATGACATTGCACCACTGGAAGCACTATCTTTTGGAACGTCAGTTCACAGTCTTTTCATATCACGAAACTTTGAAGCGGATCAAGGAACAAACTACCTTATCCATTATGTTGACCCACTGATTGCATGAGATGAACATTTTTAATGTTGAATTAAAACACAAAAGGGTTGTTATAACCGAGTTGCTGACGCATTGTCTCGCCACCCTGAATACAAATTTGCCTTGTACGCTCCTACAACCTCCAAGAAAAATTGAAGGAGGAACTCGTAGAGCAAATTGCCAAGGATCCGAATCTCAGTCCAATCCTTGAGAAGTTTCGGGTTAACCCCAACAGTCAACATAATTTCCACGAGTATGAGGGTATAATTTTCCTACGCTACGGAAAGAACGACCGTTTGTGTGTAGCCAACCATAAGTCTCTCCGCACTCACTTCTTGGACTTGGCTCATGGCCGGAGTGGACACTTCGGTTTGACAAAGACGTACGAAATCTGCTACAACAGTTTGATTGGCCTAGTATGAAAGAATCTGTTGTGAAGTTTGTGGTTGAATGTCAAGTCTATCAGCGGATTAAGCCATCGAGGTAAAAGCCAAACCTTTTCTCATTCCCTACGGTCCCAGAGAGTCTGTCTTAATTGACTTAACGGGCATGGGTAAGTTGAGTAAGAATGAATATTCGCAAGTTATGGTGATTGTTGACCATTTTTCCAAGTTCTTAAATATGGTTTTATTTCAACCGCATGTCCCAACTTACCTTGTGATCCGTGAATTACACCATAAATACATTTTGCAATATAGGACCCCAAAACCCCTTATGAGTGATTGGGATCCCCACTTCATAAGTGCTAACTGGAGGACTTCACTTCCCAACTCAATGATATTAAATTGAGGATAACATTTGGTCGACACCCTGAAGCTAACGGTTTGGCTGAGGAGATCAACCAGACTGTGCAATAGCTTCTCCGTGCCTTAATTATCCCGGATCTGGAAACGTGGGATGAAGAGTTGAATACGATCAAGGGGTTATACAACAACTTCATTCATTCTTCCGCCGACATGACGTCGAACAAACTGCATTAAGCTGTGTATCTTTTTAACGCAGAACGGGGGAATTAAAATCCCGTTGAATCCCGTTAAACTCCAAAAAATCCCGTTGAATTCGCGTTAAACGCGAAAATGGGCCGCTACCGCGCTTTTCGGAAAAACGAAATTGATGTGCAGGGTCCGGAACACGTGGCCCTAGGCAAAAATAATAATAATAATAATAATAATAATAATAATAATAATAATAATAATAAATAAATAAATAATTTCCCCAACTTCTGAAGCACCTCCCATCCGCCCCTACATCCCCCAACCCCCAATGCCCCAGTTATGTGTGTGTAGGTGTGCTGTGTGTGCACGTATCTGTGTATGTGTGTGCCTGCCGTGAGAGTGTGTCTGTGCAGGAATATGAATGGATGCGCGTGTGTTTGTGTATGTGTGTGTTTGTAAGTGTGTGTGTGTGTCTGTGCTTGTAAGTGTATGTGTGTGTTTATAAGTGTGTGTGTGTATGTATATGTGTGTGTTTGTGTATGTGTGTGTTCGTATGTGTGCGTGTGTGTATGTGTGTGTTTGTAAGTGTGTGTGTGTATGTGTGTGTTTGTAAGTGTGTGTGTGTGTGTAAGTGCAAGTGTGTCTGTGCCTGCGCGTGAGAGTGTGTCTCGCCTTACTCACAACCTTGTTCCCCAACACACAGATTCCACTTGCACCCAAGGACCACCCTGCGCCACGCCCAGCTTACAGCAGCGCAGCTCGGCTATGGCTGCCTGCTCCTTCCTGCTCGCCCATGAGCGCGTGAGTGGCACGAGCTACAGCGCGGCAGCGCTTACACAGCATGCAGCCAACACCCGAATGCCCAATGTGGAGGCAGGCCCTTTGCTATATCGAAGTGGTCTGCCTGTGTTCAGTCCCAGGAAGGTTCCAGTAGGCCCCGGTAACCTGAGGCACAACACGAACGAGAACAGGCCTTGGGCCTGAGGTGGTTGCATGCCCCCAACTGCTTTTGGCCTGTGTTTGGCCTAGTACCCGTATCCAGCCCAGGGCCTGCTTTCCATACATTCACACAGGCGGCCCAGGACCTGGGTTCCCTCAACCAACTGACGCCAGACTCATGCAACCTGCTACAGGTTCAATTTTGTGTGTGTGTGTGTCTTTTTTTTCATTTTTTAATTTGCTTTTTATGGTTTTGATTTTTTTTTAAATACACGAAATTCCAAAAAAATAAAATAAAAAATAAATTGTTGTACATCTTTGAAAGATCTACAACCCTATATTTTTTATTTGTTTTTTTTGTTTTCGTTTTAGTCCTTAAAAAATCTGTGTGAAACCCAAAACAAAAACACTCATTTCATTTTAGTTTTTGTTTTTTCATTGTGTGTTTATATTTTTGATTCATCAAAAAATAAAAATAAAAATACAGGGTTGTAGTCCTCAACAAAAACTACAACCCCATTTTTTATTTATTTTTTTGGATAATTTTTCGCCCAGGAAAAAAATCATCCCGGACCCCGTTAATTCCCGTCCAACTCGCGTTTGAACGGGAGTTTAACGCGAATTCAACGCGCGTTGAATTTTTCAACGCGAAACCCGCGTTAAATCCAATTTCGGACACATGCATTAAGGTTGAAAGATTTGTAATCCTCTCTCCTACTTATTCCCTGAACAACTGGCTGGTCTGACGCCTGGCAAGCCTGGCATTAGCGTCAAGTACGATCGGTTTTTCAAAGTTGTTGTTGCAACAATGATCAAGCGACAACATGTTATGATCCATCATGCTAACAATAAGCGCCTATCAGGAACTTTCGAGGTAGAAGGCTATATTTGGGTCAAGATATCTGAATTTTCGAAGGAAGAGGGGGTGTCATGCAAACTTCTCTCTCTCTATTATGGTTTGTAGGAGGTTTTGGATGTGGTTGGTAAGGATGGATTCAACCTGTCATATGTGATTCTCGTGCCTCCTCATTTGCACACGTACCTGGTTTCATGCATATAAACTACTTCCGCATCTTGATGTTAAATCCGTCAAATATCGTGAGAATATGATCCCTCGTGCAATCAATGGCAGTCACGAGATATACAAAATTACAAGTTGTATTAGTGAGGGACGTACAGATAGTATCATGTTCATTTCATGTATCACCTATTAGACGATCTCTACTGGATCTAAAAAAAAGAGTTGTTGCGGAGTGCACCTCGCATTGTCAAAGCATACAAACGACATATAGCTTCCGGTGTTGTTCCAACAATCTCTGCAAAAGTCACTGCTACTGAATATGCACACAATCTTTTTGCTACGTTCGCTTATGATGTGTTTGTCAGGGACTCACATTGAGTTACTCACTAGAAGGGACCTCACTCTTGAGGGGGGGTAGTGTAAGGACCTTCCCAAACACGGATTGAGAACACAGTTGATTTATGAGTTTTGCCGCTCAAATGAATGCCTCGCAAAGATTCTCGCTTTCTGTTGAGTCTTTAACGTCTATGTGTGTGCGTGTTTGCTGGTCTGCGTGCCTATCTGAGTGCTTAACGACTTGAGTGTGTGTGTGACCCGCAAGGGTACTTGCTTGCTTTCAGTGCCCGTAGGGCCGGTACTTACCCGTGGTCGTGAAATTGAGGGTTACAGCGGGGAAAACACTCAAGTAGCAGGAAGAGACCCACGACACTTAGAGTAGCGCGAAAAAGACTCAAGCAGCAGGTAGGCCAGTACCACACCAAGTAGCGGTAGATGTGTAAAGTACTCGAAGCCAAATAAAAGAAGACAAAAGTTGGCATTTTTTCAGAGGCCCAGTAGTTGTAACCTTTTAGGTTAGGTCTAGGCGGGTACTAGTCCAAGTAGTATGCGCCTAGGGCCTGTACGAGCGATATCAGAATCTGCAATGATGTTTCCCTCCAAAGGGGAGGAGGTACCGGTTGCTTGGAGGCCGTGCGGCCTAGAAGTCACTGGCCACGAGGCATGTTCGTCGCTATATCTCCAGGAGGAGCAAAGTGCTCCTCCTCATTTTGTTGCATGCAAGTTTGGATGTCATACTGCTGGAGTGCTAGAGGAGCAACGCTAGTGTGTAGCGTTGTGGGGAAGAAGGGCGTCCAACCCTCCACCTTGGCTATGGTGGAGGAGCTCAGGTAAGAGGAGGAGGAAGAAGGGACTAGGAGAGGGGAGTGCCAGGGGTACCTACCTGGCTACAGTGGATGCCATCTTCATCTTGGTGGGCGCTGCATCAAGAAGGCCCACGTTGGGGTAGAGCTACATTCAAGGCAAAGACAGGCATGGCGGCCTGAGTGGAAGTAGCCATAGCTACTTTGTGTTGTCTTTCGCACGTCAGGGCAGGGCCCTAGTAGTCTGTCATAGCCTCGGCCTATGAAGAGGAAGGAGAAAGAGCGGTCATGTCTAACTTTAGGCTATGACTTGTTGACACATACTTGGGGGCTATGAAGAGGAAGGAGAAAGAGCGACCACAACTTGGGGCTATGGCCACTTAACGCTATTTGAATTCCCACCCTAACATTGTATCCACCACCAAACACTTCACACTCACTCATGCATATCTTCACACATACTAGGATCTACCCTGAATGTCCACGCATACACACCACACACACTAGGCTACGACTTGTTGACCCTTCGTAGAGCTTAGGGTCAACCTATAGGACATACACTAAGACTGCTAACAGTCAGATTCACAGTTCAAGTCTGTGCGACCAGACTATACACAACAAACACAAGCATACGACTTTGGGACAGGTCGTGGGTTCAAAACATGAGGAAGTCAACGAGTATCGTATAAGGGGTAGGGTATAGGTCTAGGGATTGAGCCTTGGGATCTGCAATTGTCATGCGAATTGGGTGAAACTGTTTCACTCACCATCCTCAATTCGAGGTCCTCCGAGAATTCTCTAATCCAAGGCAGGACCTTTACCTTTTCTTGCTCTCTCGTAGGCATGCACTATGTCGGGAGTGGTCTCTAGAAGCACGGTTATGGTGAACCATTTGTCGTCTTCGGGTTCCTGATAAGCAAATCTAACTTTATATTGCTTCTAGGGACGACCCCAACCTCCAGTTCTAAACACATCTTCCTCTATGATCCAGTCTATGTCATAAGTGTCATCCATGTTAGGCGGAATCATTCCTCTTCGCGATGGAAACTCTTGACTGGTGACACAAGGCAACAACTTTGACGCATGAAAAACCAGATATGTATGAAGGTGAGGTGGGATGTCGATCGTGTAGGATGGTCCGTCCTCTCCACCTTTGACTTCTAGGACAGACCACGACCCTCTGTACGCGGACAATAACTTTTGCGAGATGTTCTCTTCTGGGGTGAACTCCTTTGACTTGACCCAGACTAAGTCGCCTACCCCAAACTCTGAGGGTCAGCAATGCTTGTTCGCTTGCTCAATCATGTGATGTTGGGTCTTCCTAAGGTTCTCAATCACCCTCGCGATTTCCTTATCGTGCTGCAACGCAAACTCTCTAGTCCCAAGAGGCAATCTCTGGATTTGGTCCTGATTCAGTCCTTCAAACGGTTTGCATGGTCAAAAGGACTTATGCAACTCGTTAGGAGTACGACATGTAGCTAGAGGTACACTGTTGTTGTAGGCGCTACCTGATAAGACCCAACAACGCTCGCGTCATTGTTTTGTTATGTTGGCATACCTTGCAACTGCGGAAGCACTCTATGTGGTCAGCCTTCATGTCGGGCCATGTATCCGTGCTCAATAGGTCGGCTAACTTTTTTTGCCATTCAAATCATGGCCTTCGGTATCATGGCACTCCCCTAGGATCAGGCTACAAACCTTTTGCTGTTAGGGACGCACAACCTATAAACGACGTTAGTCTTTTAAAAAAGTAGCCCGTTTATGGTTCGATAGTCCGACTCGCTATCAGGGATCTCCTTAACTCTCTTTAGGAGATCGATGTAGATCGGATCTTGCACGTACACATCGTTTATCTTCTGCTGCAGGCGCCGAAGTAATTTGCCATTCTGCTTAGAGCGCCAACTACCACGTTGTTCTTACCTTTCACGGGCTTAAGCTTGAAGTCAAATTGGTCTATCTTTGTTGCCCACCTGGTCAATTTGGGCGTCATTTTGGCTGGTGTCTTTAGCCATCTCAGAGTCTCATGATTTGAGTAGACTTTGAAGTGTCTCCCAAGCAGGTAATGCCTCCAATGATCTAGTGTCTTCCTGAGAGCGTAGAGTTTTCTTTCATGTTTCAAGGCTGCTACCTTTTCTGAAGGCTGGCTAGCATGAACTCTACGGGTCAATATCCATGGTCGTAAGACAACACCTATACCATACTGACTCGCGTCTGTCGTGACGACAAATGGCAACGAAGGATCGGCTAATTTGAGGACAAGATATTTTACCAAGGCCTTTTTTAGCTTCTTCAGGGCCAAGGTGCAATCTTGGTCCCACTTCCAGATCGCTTCCTTCTGTAGAAGTCTGCGAAGAGGAGCAACTGTGGCGGAGAAGTTTCTCACAAACTTCCTATAGTAGTTGGTCAACCCTAGGAACGAACGCAACTCCGTCAGAGTGCGGGAAGTTTGCCAATCTCTAATTGTTGCGATCTTATTGTTCTATGGTCTAATGTTGTCTCCATCTAACACGTGGCCCAGATAGAGGACTTTTGTCTTGGCCCACTCGCATGTTTTCGCATTGATCTTGAAGTTGGTTTCTCTCAACTTCCCCAAGAGTTGCCTTAGGTGACCCTCATGTTCTTGGAGGGTCTTGCTGAATACAAAGATGTCATCTAGGTAAACTACGACAAATTTATCTAACCACAACCTAAACAAATTTTTCATACAACGCTGAAATGTAGCTGGTGCATTGGTAAGTCCAAAGGGTATCACTATAAACTCGTAATGCCCGTATATCGTCCGGAACACCGTCTTATGCTGATCATCAGATTGTACCTCTATTTGATGGTACCTTGATTTCAAATATATCTTCGTAAAGTATTTGTTGTCTTGCACCCGATCCAACAGATCATCTATACGGGGCAATGGTTTTGCGTTTTTAACTGTAATGACGTTCAGACCCCTATAGTCAATACACATCCTTAACTCTCCCTCCTTCTTGGAGACGAATATGATAGGTGCGCCAAAAGGTAAAGGGTAAGGTCTAATCCACCCCTTTTCGAGGAGCTCGTTTAATTGTTTGCGCAACTCCTCTAATAACTCTTTAGGAAACATCCTATAGACTGCTTCATTCGGCGTCTTACTGTCAGGCTCTTATCTCTATGTCGTGTTCGATGGGTCTTTGCACTACCCCTGTGGGCAATGTGCTAAGGAGTTATCAACTCCTAACAGAATGGAACAGGCGGGCTTTCTTAACCCCACCTTCCGGACTAGGGAGCCTGCACTCATGTTCTCGAAGGTGCAGAGTGGTGCCAGTTGCCTCTGCCCAATCTGTTCCTAGCACTATATCGAAAGAGAGGTTTTCGTCTACGAGGAGAGTCATGGAGTGAAGGACTTTCTCTACCTTCCCTCCTTCCTCTAGGCGAAAGCACGCCTGGACTTCCTAGATGAATTCCTCTACATGCATTGTACAGTTGTCTGTGAGGATACTAACTATAGGGGCATCAATCTTTTGAACTTTGAGGCCTAATCTCAACTTTTTCAACGATCGATGACTGATGTAACTCATGGTGGCCCCACTATCTACAAGGGACCCTACTCTAGATCTAAAGGCCTCGATGTTTACTAACATGAGTTGCCCTTTTCCCTTTTCTTCATCTTAGCCCAAGCCTGCCTTCTCTCTTTCAACTCTTTGCCGATACCTGTGAGGGAAGCGCTCAGAGAGACTCTAACGTAAGCAACCTCTGGATAGCTAACTAGGAGCATGCCAGCAACCTCTGCCATAGAGATATGAAGAGTGAGAGTTTCTGTCTTGTGCGTGCACTCATTTCCACGTACTCCTGGGTAGGGGCAGTTGCTACCTCTACCCGCGGTTGCCTTTTGCTGCCCCGGACACAACATTCCAAAAACTTTGGTACCTCGGGCAAAATTTGATAATGTGTCTGGGATTGGCGGAGAACATGCATCGGTATCGATCCACACGATCTTGCCATACGTTCTGATCTACTTCAGGCCAACCAAGGTACCACGCACCCCTCTTGAGAGGTGATCCAGTAGAATTAGGGTGGTTAGACGGGGGACCTTGACCCCTTCCTCCTGCTCGGCGGTCTCTGTTGCCTCCAACCCCCTGACCACCTTGTCCACGACGACCTGAGGCCTGGCTCAGGCTGGCTGTTCCGACTTTGGCCATGACCTCTTCCTTGCGGCCTCCCTCCGACCGTGACAGCAACATAGGAACTCCCCTTCTCTATACTACCGTCTCCCTCTTCCTTGAGTCCCCATTCAATCGATATCAGTATAGGGGACTTCTTCGACACCACCTTCCTCCATCGTCAGAATCAAACGGTCTTTGGCTTTAACCTGATCGGAGATGGTGCGTCCTTTCCACTTCTTACCCTTTGTTAAATCTTTGTGTCTAAAAGTGGTAATTGGCGAAGCTTGTGCAGCAAATGCAACAGCCTCCCGGCTAAGGACATCGTAAGTCATGCTTGGTTGTTGCTTCTTGGCAAAGAAGTGCCCTTGAAGATGCTCGGGCAACGCTCGGTAAAATACTTGGACAAGTTGTGCTTTGGTCACTCCCTGGCCGAGCATCGCGATGAGCTCATCCATAGCGGACTTCAGAACGTGCACACTCCCCATGCCGCGTATGGATCATTTGGAGCTTGTCAAACACCTTTATCCCACTCGTGACGTCTGCGAAGCGTTCTCTCAATGAAGCGAGAAAATCGCTAACATCGGTGAGAGCAGAGTACAATACCATATCATTTTCACAGCAGGCGGCGCCTGAGTATCCCTTGCGGCTGCGGTCATGACCGTCGCAGTCGCGGTCGGAGATGACTCGCTGCGACCATGGAGAGGGGGGTCCCACCAATCGGGGTCGGGATCCCGGCGACGGGACCGGGGCACCACCGCCCCCATAAAGAAAAAAAATAAAGAAATTTAAAAACGGGGGGGGCCAAATAGGTTTTTTTTTTTACTTTATTTTTAATTGATTGATTGATTGATTGATTGATTAATTGGTTGGTTGATTTGATTGACTGATTGGTTG